TGATGGTCCTTCTTGAGCATGTGAGCAGCTGGTTTTGGTTGTCAGCAGCAAACTGGTTGATCCACTCTGAGACGGTGCTATTTAAGAGACTGAGCTGAATACACCACCTCAGACTGAGGAAGTCTCTCGGATGAGAGACGAAACGTTTCTAGATTTTTTTGCTTTGTTTTGTTTTTTGTTTTTTTGAATGTGCAGAGGACCAGATTGAACTTTTTTGGATATAAAACAGATAGGAGCTCCCTAAAATACATGTTGATAAACTCACAAGTTTTGAGACTGATGACACTAAACTTGTTCCATCAGCTCTGTGTGTATAAAAGGACAACTGAAGCTTGTGAAGTAAAGAGCATCATACCTGCTGTGAAACATGGAGAGGGTCAGCTTTTGTTTTGGTCTGCTTTGCTGCATCTGGCACAAGGACCTCTGAATCTGTGCTGGGTACAATGAAATCTCAAGACTATCAAGGCACCCTGAAACGAAACAATTTCACAAAGCTCGGCCTCAATCACAGGTCATAGGTCGTCCAACAAAGTAATGACGCAAAATATAGTTTAAAACACTCAAGAATGGACTGTTCTTACATGGCCCCAGATTTTACTCTGCAGTGTGGAGTTCAAACCTGAGACAGATTGAGCGGTTTGCTCAGGAAGAGTGGGCCAAACTTCCTGTTGGTAAATGCAGACGTCTCATTGTGCAGCCATCTCACTAACTGTTAGAGTAGGAGGCTGGAGTAATTTCTATCACCATTTTTTTCATTTACCCTTTATTTATACAGGTAGTCTCATTGAGTCACGAGAACTCATTTTCAAGAGAGACCTGTTTAGGAGCAGATGGTGGGTGTTAAGGGCCTTGCACAGGGGCCCAGAGTGAGGCGAAAGAGGGTGGAGGCAAGTATGGGTGTTTCACTTTTTCCACCCACATTTTATGTTGACGGTACTGGGAGTTGAACCTGCGACTTTCCGATCACAGGCCCATCTTCTCTAACCTCTGCACCACCACTCCCCCTACACCAACACAGATGTTCTGTTCGGTGAAATGTTGGTAAATTCAGACGCTGCCTAAGTTTCTTGTTCTTTCACAGTTGTTTTAAAGACTATTGTAGAAGGAGACAAACACATTTGTCTGCAGCTGTATATCTGAATGTATTGCTCAAACTGAGTTTATCTGAACCTTTCTTATCTCCACAGCAGTCAGACTTGGTATGTTTACACATGATGAAGTTTGACTTTGTGTTGCAGCACGTTTCGTCATTGGTTGCTTCATTGTGGACTCTGCATGTTCTGTTCACAGGCTACACACTCTAAACCATGTGGAAATGGCCTCTTTCATTTATATCTGCAGCTTCAACATTTGAAACTGTTTCAAAAGTCTTAAATTGCTGAACACCAACAAAGAAATGTGCTTTAGTTGAATAAATGTATGCATTCAAATTGTTTTTTAAACTAAATAAAACGAAATGTGCTACTTCTTGACTTGGATTAACCAAACAAATGGCGATTTGGTTTTAAATACCTGGTAGATTTATTTTTTATTTTTTTGTTAACCTTTGTTTAACCAGGTAAATCACACTGAGATCACAGATCTCTTTTGCAAGGGAGGCCTGGGTCTGAAGGTAGTCTGATGTGTGGGAGGAAACCGGAGTACCCGGAGAAAACCCACACAGCACGAGAAGAACATGCAAACTCCACCCAGAAAGACTCCAGGTCCAACTGGGGATTGAACCCAGGACCTTCTTGCTGTGAGGCAACAATGCTAACCACGGAGTCGTCGTGCTGTATAGGTGAACACCGTATATCTTTTTTGAAATGATTAAACTGTGCTGACACGCCAGCAAAAATAAATCAATTTCATACTATAATGAAAAATCCAGCAGCACGGTGGCGCAACTGGTAGAGCTGCTGCCTCTCAGCGAGCAGGTCCCCGGTTCAAATCCTGGTCCGGGGGCCTTTCTTAGTGGATGTATGTTCTCTCCATGCATGCGTGGGTTTTCTCCGGGTACTCCGGTTTCCTCCCACAGACCAAAAACATGCATGTTAGGCTGATTGGTAACTCTAACCCTAGGTGAGAGAGAGAGAGTGAAAGGTTGTTTGTCTCGTTTATCTCCATGTGGCCCTGTGATGGACTTGCGACCCATCCAAGGTGTACCCCGCCCCTCGCACATTGATTGCTGGACATGGGCACCAGCGACCCCCGTGACCCAAAATGGAAGAAGCTGGTAAAGATAATGGATGCAGTGTTTCCCCTAGTTAACTTGCCATGGCAGGGTGCTCATCTAACAGTTTTTGGGTGGGGGTAGGGGGCGTTTAGCATGAGGGAAGAGGTAGCATGAGTGCTTCCTTTAGCTTTTTAACTGGAGAACCTGTATTTCTCGCTGCTAGCTTAGTACTATGTCAGTGCCAGGTGGGCAGGTGGGGGGTCAAGTTTGGTTTGGTAGGTGGGGTGCTCAATTCGGTTGACGGGGTGGGGCACCCCGCTTGTATAATGGTAGGGGAAACACTGGGATGGATGGATTGATGAATATCCTGATTCATGTTCAATAATCCAGGTAGAAAAATCTAAAAAAGTTAAGTCTGGTCCACTGGACATTCAAAAAACCAAACAAACAATACATTTTATAATAAATAAACCCAAACAAATAAACGATAATGTTTGTTTGTTTTGTTTTTTGAATGTCCAGAGGAACAGACTTAACTTTTTTAGATTAATAAGTAATACATGTATGTTTTTAAATTTAATGAAAGACTAACCTTTAAAATTTAAGGACAAAATATTACCAAATTGTTTTCAAGTCTGTAGATTATTGTAAAGGCAGATTCAAAGATTACAGCACAGTGTGATGTTTTGTAATTTTAACATGAACCTTGTGCATATGTAAATATATAAGTGAAGATATATTTAATACATCTTTATTGTAAAAATCTATACTAAAATGGAAAATGCATGGATTTAAAGCAGGCAGGGAAGGCAGTAAGGTAGGATTATGAATCAGGTTTAAAAGTTACAGCTCATGAGGTACTCCATTAGAGCATGACATCTCTTCCACAACATCCTGTGGCAAATAGTGATGTGCGGATCGATTCTAAAATATCAATTACTGTCGATACCAGAATGGCTTGCTCTAGAATTGATGTTTAAATCAAATTATCAATACTTTTGATACTTCAGTCATTTCAGGTAATGCATATCATTAACAGGAAGATGGTGGAAAGTAACTAAACTATTGAGATCTTGTCTAAATGATACACGGTTGGAGGGAACTACTTTTTCTTCCACCTGAGTAAATGCGTAATGTGTTTAAGTGGAGCGGGATGCTGCTCGTCAGTCTCTCTCTGTAGACACAGCGACAGAGCTTAACAGAGTCGTGTGGAGTTATGTCATCTCCAAAAACAGCCAAGAAGCAGTTTGTGAGGTTGGCGGAAAATCAGTAAAGAGCTTTAGCAACACAACAAACCTTGTAAAACACTTCCGGTTAAATCACAGCACAGAATATGAGGCACTGATGAGGTGGACAGAGGAGGAGAGGCAGGTGCTGCTGCTCTGGAGGAGTCCCTCAGGGCTGCAGGGCTATCCAGGTACATGAAATGTGGAGCTTCAAGCTGTTCTAAGAACTGCTGCAGTTGGAGTTGTTCAAATTAATACATATTGTAATGAAATAATTAACAAAATAAATTCATGCTTGAACAAATAGTTGCAAGAGTTCAGTTTGGAGTAATAATATGTGTATCACTGCGATAATTTCACATGGGCAAAAAAAGCCTAGATTTATTCAGGTAAGGTTTCATAAAGAAATGATCATTTAAAGTGGATTACATAAAACACATGTCATCAAATTATACAAAGCAATGGTGATAAATCAGGGCAGCACGGTGGCGCAACTGGTAGAGCTGCTGCCTCTCAGCGAGCAGGTCCCTGGTTCAAACCCCGGTCCAGGGACCTTTCTGGGTGGAGTTTGTATGTTCTCTCCGTGCATGCGTGGGTTTTCTCCGGGTACTCCGGTTTCCTCCCACAGACCAAAAACATGCATGTTAGACTGATTGGTAACTCTAAATTGTCCCTCGGTGAGAGAGTGAATGGTTGTTTGTCTCTAGGTTGTTTGTCTCTGTGTCCCTGTGATGGACTTGCGACCCGTCCAGGGTGTACCCTGCCCCTCGCACAGTGATTGCTGGACCCGTGACCCAAAATGGAATAAGCTGGTAAAGATAATGGATGGACGGTGAAAAAATAGCCTTGGTGAACTCTGAAATATATATACTAAAAAATATGGATAAAAATATAAGATATTATCTTAAACATATCTCATTATTTAATATATATTTAATGTTTTAATAGTTTTATGATTTTTTTAATTATTTTTATTGTTTGAAAAACCATTTTCACATATTTTGTAAGATGTCCTATTTGTTTTATAAGCTCAGACTAAATGAAGACACTTCATCAACATACTCCTCAGTTTAAAATAAATAAATTACTTTGTCTTGCATTCTTTATGCAACTTAGATTTGAATACACTGCTTTTTTTAAGTTTACCTGACACATTAGGCATATTTGCAAAAAGTATCAGTATCTGTACCACCGATACCCGCACAGATATTGGTATTGTATCGGACCAGAAAATCCTGGTATCGAACAACACTAGTGGCAAAGTCTTTAGGGTGTTCTTCTAATACGTTTAGTGGTGGCTAGTAAATAGATTAAGGGAGCACTACCACCACCAGGTGGATTCTGGTCCCCCCCTAGAGAGCCGGTCCAGAAGTGTAAAATGAAACGCAACAACAGCTGACCTGAACTGACCTGATCCGCACCGTAACAGTGCAAAAGGGGCATTAGTGTGGTGCAAACACTGCAGAGCAGAAAGTTACCAGCATGGTTTGTTGTGTAACGGCACACATTCAACCATCCAAACACAGCATGCTTACTTTAATTTATTTAATAATTTCAACAAATGATTTATTTAATTCTTGGAGGTAGCTTGAACTTGTTTTTGTCCTCTGACAGGAGACCACGACTCACTCCACTTTGAGCAGAACCACATGATGTTGCCTCAGCACCTGAAGCAAATCAGAGTCCTCATGCTGAACAACAAGGAAAGTTTGGAAAGAACTTTGTTCAGACTTGAACAAGGTAACGCTTCTTCAAATGCATTGCTCCTGTTTAATGCTCAAAAATATTAGAAGATTTAAAACCAAACCTTTGAAATCAAAGTTTTTTTTCCTCTGTTGATAAACATGTAGTTTCATTTTGTCTTATGTAGAGAGTGAGAGTGACATCACGTGCACAGCAGAGTGGTAGCCCTGCCGGGAGCTCCGCTTCGACTCGATCTTTTTTGTTCCTATTGTTTTTGTTTTAACATTTTTTGCGCCTACACTGCACACCCACACTACGGGTATGACCGGGACACACTTTTGGCGTTTTGTGTGTCGCTGTCTTGTCATCGTGGTTCAGTCCTTCCAGCTTTGGGCTGGGTTGGGCCTGTCATGGCAACCGTCTCCATTTTCCTCCATTTGCCTCCATTTGCCTGCACGGACCGAACTCTATGGACCTGTTCGGGTCCGCGAGGAAACCTTGGATGTTCTTCATCTCCGGACCCGGTTCTGGAAGGCGGTCTGTGAGGGCAGCTGGTACGGTCATTGGTACCATCAAGCTGCTGATGGGACCTGCTAACACTGCTAACAAGATCCTCCATCTGCCTGCTCAGACCTAACTCTGCGGACCCGCTTGGTTCCACGGAGGAACCTTCAATGTTCTTTGTCTGCCAGACCCGGTTCTGAAGGGCAGTCTTTGAGGCAGCTACTGCGGTCCACAATTATCATCATGCTACTGATGGGACCTGCTAACAAGACCTGCTAATGCCGCTAACAAGACCACGCTGCTAACAGGACCACACTGCTAATAGTACCATGGTGCTAACTGGACCATGTTGCTAAGATAACCTCACTATCATCAGAACCACTTTGCCAATAGGACCATGCTGCTGTAGATTTATTTCTTTTTCACTTTTGGCACCTTGTTTCTGCATTTTTGTTGCATGCTTTGAATAAATCCCAGTTTGTTAGTTTTGCGGCTTCGATCCCGACTCCGCTTGCATTAAGCGTGTAAATTATAGCCTAACAGAATCAGTGAGACTCATGCTGCTTTTATTCGGTGTATTATTTGGCACTATTAGTGAATAGTGTATTCCTTAGATCTTTTAGCATATCGTTGGGCATTCATTTAGCGTATGTAGTTGATATCTTAAATTCTTATTTACTGTTTCTTTTTACACTTTATATTTTTGCTGTTGTTGGATGTAACTGGGACCCTGTGTACATAATTTTGTTCCACCCCATGTACCACATGCGATGCGAATGACAATAAAGAACCTTGAATCCTTGATGCACCTGCCAGCAGCATTCTATGTTCACATTCAGTGACAAACCAACATTTTTCAGTCAGGTCATCTGGACAGTTTTTTTTTTTTGTGCTGAAACATTTTGCCTTCCATCCGGAAGGCTTCATCAGTCAAGGAAACACACAACAAAACTGATTCTTCCCCTAACAGCTTACTCCAAAGTGGAACAAACCAGTTTTGTTTGTGCTAAGATGATTTCTTTGGTACACCCCCAATGGAGGAGGGGGCGTACCAATCAACTCTTAGCCTAAAATTTAACACAAAAACATAATTGTACACGTCGTATCTCAAATCTAAAACCAAATCAATTATTATAATATATTTGCAACCAGTCTTTCATATAAAAACTGGGATATTTTTACCAGAGAATGCTTTCACTCTAACGAGTTTGTTGTTGTACTGGCATGGCTTGCGGTCAACGGTAACTATTTACGCAATAAAGTGATGGTTATTCACGTTTTCCTCGATTTCAGTATCCAACAGGACGTCACAATATAAAAATAAGGATATTTGTACCAGAGAATGCGTGCACTTTAACCAAGAAGAGTTCTGCCTTTTTTTTTTTTTTAAATTACAAACAGCAACAGATAATTAAGACTTTAACCTAAAACCCCACATAACAAAGCAGAGCATAATTTTTAAATTAAAAGGGACAAGGTGGAGAAAATGCGCTATTGAGTTTGTTTATTTACTGACGGTAAACAAAGCAGGTCCAACTCCCAGTCCCACAGCAGCTCTGCACTGCAGCTGAGACTAACGTTTAAAGCAGCACAGCACCAACACAACTCTCATGAAGTTCAGGGTTATTTGACACTTTCCTGCCTGTTCTGTGAGTTTAATAGACAGACAGTTACTTCTTACCTTGCGTTGCAAACTATTTTCAGCCACTGTGTTTCTTTGCTGGTGACTTCGCTGCTCCTCCCGCTCTCTCTGTGAAAAGCTTTGGCTGAAACGTTTACTTCGGGGCAATGCAGTTCTTTTGACTTGTGTTAAAGTGAAGGAAAAGGAAGAAAACTACAAAATAGCTGCACCCATTTAAAATTTTTTTTTGTAAATTTTCATTTTTGCTTATTGATCGGTTCCCGCCCCTGTCTTCTCCCGTTAACTTTCAATCCAGTCATGTCCTGGTCACGTGAGCTATAATGAGGTTGACTTTGGTCCCACCGGAATCCTGCTGGAATCACGTGACCCGCGGTACTCCCCAAAAAATGGCATCCTCTATCAGACATTAAAGGGGGTGTTAGGACACTTGACAGAATCGGAGCTGCTCTACTCCCTTCTCTCTAAAATAGTCATTTCAATTCATCCTTTATTTATACAGGTTGTTAGTCTCATTGAGCCACGAGGACTCATTTACAAGAGACCTGTTTTTAATAAATTTAATCAAATGTTTACAGATGTTTAACGTGTTAAAATACACCAAAATGCAGGAAATGGCATCTCTGTTATTCCAAATTTTCTGGGGGAGGACCCACGGACCCCCCCACCCCACCCTGCCAGACCTTCCGCTATTTGTGTTCCGGCATCAATTGGTTTACAAATTAAGCCCTGGAGGAGACCCCATACTGAACACTTATCGACCATCTCCAAACTTTGTATTCTAGCTAAGGTTTTAGAAAAATTGATGAATGTTCAAATCAAGAAGTATTTGGATTATTTTAACATCTTATCTTCCCATCATTCTGGGTTCAGGAAACAACATAGCACAACGACTGCTTCGTTGAAGGTTTTTAATGATGTTGAAGTGGGCTGCTTAGGACTACTGTGTTGCACTTTATTTAGACCTGTCTAAAGCTTTTGACACTGTAGGAGCAGTGGTCCTCAATTGGTGGCCCACAGTCCACATCCAGCCCTCAAGATGTCTATGTCTGGACACCACCTACTTTCCATCTGCACCCTGTGGTCAGTCCGGATCCCGTTCTGGGAAAGCACGAAAGATCTTGAATCTCAATTAGGGCTGGGCATTATCGATATTTTTAAAATATCAATATAATTTTATTTGCGATATAAATTGACATTATTTCGTTATAAACAATATAGTTCTACTTGAAAATTTGCTGGCTCTGCTGTTATTTCTTCTCCCACATGGCCCCCTCTTCTCACTCACTGCAAACTCGGCCCTTACCCGCGCGCTCTCCCCTGCTTCCTGCTTCTGTCCAGGTGGAGTGGCTGCCCTGTGGCACGTAGCAGCCAAAAATAGAGAGAGAGAGAGCAAGTCACAGAACTGGTGAGCAGGAGAAAAAATAATGGCTCTGTTATTTGGAGATGGTTCGGATTTAATTTGTCAGATGTGCAACAGAAAAATGCCGAAAATAAGTCCCAACGAAAATGTTTGAGCACAACAAACCTCTTTCACCATTTAAAGCAGCGCTATAATGGAGTATGAAGCATGTGTTAAACTTGGTGCTGGAGCTCTGGCTGTGAAGCTTCCTTCCCTGAGACAAATTACGGTACGAAACTCTTACCTGTGCTGTGCTTTATGAGAGGTCCATCCATCCATCCATTTTCTTCCGCTTATCCGGGGTCGGGTCACGGGGGTAGCAGCCTAAGTAGGGAGGCCCAGACTTCCCTCCCCCCAGCCACTTGGGCCAGCTCTTCCGGGGGAATCCCGAGGCGTTCCTAGGCCAGCCGAGAAACATAGTCCCTCCAGCGTGTCCTGGGTCTTCCTCTGGGCCTCCTTCCGGTGGGACATGTCCGGAACACCTCACCAGGGAGGCGTCCAGAAGGCATCCTAAACAGATGCCCAAGCCATCTCAATTGGCTCCTCTCGACGTGGAGAAGCAGCGGCTCTACTCTGAGTCCCTCACGGATGATCGAGCTTCTCACCCTGTTTCTAAGGGAGAGCCCAGACACCCTGCGGAGAAAACTCATTTCGGCCGCTTGTATCCGAGATCTCATTCTTTCGGTCACATCCCAAAGCTTGTGACCATAGATGAGGGTGGGAACGTAGATCGATCGGTAAATTGAGAGCTTCGCCTTTTGACTCAGCTCTCTCTTCACCACGACAGACCTGTACAGCACCCGCTTCACTGCAGACGCTGCACCTATCCGCCTATCGATCTCACGCTCCATTTTTCCCTCATTCGTGAACAAGACCCCAAGATACTTGAACTCCTCCACTTGGGGTAGGACCTCCTCCCTGACCCGGAGAGGGCACTCTACCCTTTTCCGGCTCAAGACCATAGCCTCGGATTTGGAGGAACTGATCTTCATCCCGGCCGCATCGCATTCGGCTGCGAACCGCTCCAGCGAAAGCTGTAGATCACTATCTGATGAAGCCAATAAGACCACATCATCTGCAAAAAGCAGAGACGCAATCCTAAGGCCACCAAAATGGATCCCCTCAACACCTTGGCTGCGCCTAGAAATTCTGTCCATAAAAGTTATGAACAGAATCGGTGACAAAGGGCAACCTTGGCGGAGTCCAACTCTAACTGGGAACGAGCTCGACTTACTGCCGGCGATGCGGACCAGGCTCTGACACCGGTCATACAGGGACCTAACAGGGCCCAGTACCCCATACTCCCAGAGTACCCCCCCACAGGGCCCCCCGAGGGACGCGGTCGAACGCCTTCTCCAAGCCCACAAAGCACATGTAGACTGGTTGGGCAAACTCCCACGCACCCTCCAGGACCCTGCTGAGAGTGTAGAGCTGGTCCAGTGTTCCACGGCCAGGACGAAAACCGCACTGCTCCTCCTGAATCCGAGGTTCGACTATCCGACGGACCCTCCT